GTAAGTGATTCATACCTTTCTCCCCTGGTGCCTTACACATATCTGTTTCTCTCTGTCCAGGCAGTAGAGTTGTGTTATTTTAGACTGGAGTGAGCTAGGAATGAGCCAGATATAGGGCACGGCCATAAGGCCAACTGCCTAATTCCCACCCTGTATAAACATCCTGGTACCCCACCCTATGCCAAGAAAGCCAGATCTTATTCACATGATAATTTTATTATAAATGTAAAGGGAATAACAAGTTGTACATAATTGATTTGCTATTTCATGTGCAATCATTTTTTTTTATTATACTGTGTTATGGAAATGTTTGTTTTATTCTGTGAATTTAAAGTAAATAAAAAAATTAAGAAAGCCAGATCTTTACCTGCCCCAACCTTTATTGTCCTACCTCTACCTGGAAGCCCAGCCACTATTTCCTTTGACACTTCCCTTCAGCATCTTCTCCCCTTTCCCCAGACCACCACATAGCCATATGTTTCTAACTGGCTTCTTAGTGCCCCGTCTTCTAAGCTAGTCAGTCAGTCAGTCAGTCAGTCACTCAACTAGGAAAAGTACTATGAGGAGAAAGTAATGGGGCAGAGCCTTCTAGGAGTGGGGACTGCTTGTCAGCTGGGTGGAGGATGGGAGGTTCAGAGACCATTTCAGTGGCTTTCCGGGTGAGATGTAATGAGGGCTGAATTAGGGTGGTGCTTTTGACTGGAGAGAAGCAGATATGCATGAGAGATATTGTGAAGGCACAAATGACAGGGTTTGGCAATGATTGGATATGGAAGGTGAGTGGGAGTAGGCGTAAAAGAAGACACTGAGCCTGGATGATGGCGAGAATGGTGGGACCCTCGACAAGAAAAGGCAAGTTGGGATGAGGGCAGAGTATGCAGGGGAAAGAAAATGAGTTCAGTTAGGGACATTTTGAGTTTAAGATGAATGAATACAGGACGTCCAGTATGACATACCCAACAGGTGATTGGAAATGCCAATGTGGAGATTAGGGCTGGAAAAGTCAACCTGGGAATCTTCTGCATGGAAATGACAAATCAACCCATGGGAGTCGATGAGATCACCGAGAGAGAGAGTCTGGAGGGCAAAGGGAAGAGGTTCTGGGACAGAGCCTTGGAGGATTCTCCTGGGCAACAAGCAAGCGTGGCCTGGATGGGGATCCTGCTGAGGGGCTGAGGCGTGGCCAGTCAGATAGGGAGGGACTGGGAAGGAGGAGTACCCTGAACCCAGAGAGGAGACAGTGTCCGGGAGGGCGAGGTACATGATGGCAGCGTCGGTTGTACGGAGAGCTCAAGAAGGGTGAGGAGTGTTCCCAAAGGCAGCAGTGCAGCACTGGCCCCCGACGGAGGCATGCTGACATTCTTGGCCCGGGCTTCTAAAGGCTTCTCCTTTGGCACAGACTGGGCTGTGATGGGATTTCCCTACTCCGAGTACACCCTCCCTAGCTCCCACACTGTCTATCCCAAAGCCAGAAGGGACCTCAGAGGACAGCTGGTCTAACTTGTACCTGAACCAGAATCCCTTCCACATCAGACCTGACAGGTATGATGATGACAGGTATCCAGCCTCAGCTGAGAGAGCTCCAAGGGGGGCAGGCTTGCTCCTTCCCAAGGTAGCCCGTTCAGTTTTGGGACAGTTCTAACAATTGGGAAATATTTTTCTTATATAAAGCCTAAATTTGCCCCTTTGTAGCTCATCATTTCTAGTTCTTCCTTTTGGGGCCAAGCAGGGCAAGTGTGATGTTTCTTCCCTATGACAACCCTTCAAAAACTTGAAAACAGGGGGTTGCTAGGTGGTGTAGTGGTTAGAGCACCTTTCTTGGAGTCAGGAGGACCTGAGTTCAAATCCTACCTCAGACACCTAACACTTCCTTAGCTGTGTGACTCTGGGCAAGCCACTTAATCCCAATTGCCTTGCCAAAACAAACAAACAAACAAAACTTTGAAGACGGTTGTCATGGCATTCGGCCTTTCTGTAGTCCTAGATCTGCCCCTTACTTATTGGGTGACTTTGGGTCATTCCCTGATTTCTCTTCTGTCAGATTATACAAGTTCCCTTCTAGCTCTAGCCTCCACATAGCTGCAAAGTAATTTTTGTGAGACTCAGCCCTGATTGTTACTTTTTTGCTCCATAGCCTTCCATGGCTGCCTATTGCCTGTGGAGTATAATACAGCCTCCTTAGCTGGACTTGAAGGTTCTCATTAGTTTGTCTCTAAACTGCCTCTCCTGCCTTTACTGCTTCTAACACCATTCCTTCTAGCCAGACTCTTTTATGGGCCATTCCTAGAACCCATCCTCTCCCCTTTCTTGTCTGATGAATTGATTCAGGCCACCCTTCTGTGCTTCACATGTACTCTTTCCCCATCTCTGCCTGTTTAAGCCCATATTATTGCTTCAAGGCCAGGCCCAGATGCTACCTCCTTCCCAACCCCTTCCCTGTTAAAAATGAGCTCTCCCAACTCGTATTTTCCTGGAGTTCTTGGTATCACTCCTTCGTCCCATTACTCTCTACCTTATGTCATAGTTTTGGACACTCTCTTTCTCTCTGTCCCTCCCTTCTCTTTTGACTGCGTATTAGAAACACTTGTTTCGTACGGCAGTGAATCCGCAATATCATCAGTGTGGCTTCCCCCTGCCTTGCATGACACAGACTGTACCCCTTCCCTGTGTGCCCATCCTGTGTAACTTAGGTCCATGGATGCCCATAAATTTCATATTGGATACCTTCCTGTCTCTCTCCTGAAAATGTCAATATACCAGGGGAACCACAGGACATCCAAACGTTGGCCTTTGCTCTTGCTACCAGACCATTCCTTCTTCTTTTCAGATTACACATTGACTTGACAGTATCTTTTATTTTAATTCATCTTTGTAGTTTTTTGTGTGTCATGGGTTACAGCTTGTTCACATCCAGCATGTGTCTTGCCTTGCCATTTCCCTTTTGCTGATAATCAGTTTCAGTTTTTTCAAAGATACAGTGGTCCCTGAGTCACAACCGTGTGAGAGGACTGCTAGGCTATTGGTATAAAAAGAAACCCTCATTTTAGTTTGTAAGGAAGGTGAATTTTAGTGTGTGTAAAGTGGATTTTTTGTTGTTCTTTCTTAGAGTTTTCTTCTCAGGATCCATAGCCATAACAATCTCTATTTCCCAGGTGTTAGATACGAGTTCTCACGATCATGGTTCAAAACAGTTTCTACCGCTTGCGCAGTAGATGTAGGGGTGAAGTGATGTAAAATTGTGAGGCTATTGCTGGCAACATGCCTTCTTTGTCTGTTGCCCTGTAAAGCAAGTGGGCACTGGTCACTGACTGGGGACCCCCATAGGGGTAAATGTTTGGGCTGAATGCTGTGCGTGCCATGATCAGCCCCCATCAAGGTTTGGGTGGAGGAATCTATGTGTTTGCCTCAACCAGCCCCTATTGAGGCTTGAGGGGATTTAGGGGAGTGCACAAGTTGTGCTGGTCTCGACTGACCCCGTCGAGACAAGGGGTAATTGCCCCCCCTTCATGCCGGCCCTTGCGAGAGGGGTTGTTTGGGAATGCTGTAGGAGTTGGTGCCGCCATTATCAGCAAACTCCCTTTGAGAAGACTAGACTAGAATAAAATAAGCTTATTTAACCCCTTATTGTGACTCCATTCCTGTCTTCCTGTTTCACCGAATCAAAAGCAAACCTGCTAGTGAGAGAGGTGCTAGAAGCCTTCCTGCGTCTCTTTTCTAAGAAATGGCGTAGTCGATATGTTTATTTGTCCAACGTAGGTCAAAGCTTGGGTTGCCTTAGATTGTTGGGCCCACCTTTCTCCTGTTGAATTATGGGCCCGACTTGTCTATTTGTATTATCACATGTACATACATACACAGAGCACTTGTGTGTGTGTGTGTGTGTGTGTGTGTGTGTGTGTGTAATTGGAAATGAATTTCTGGAAAAACATAGCTGACTCTGTTTTGTTCTGTGTTAACTCTTTTGCTGTCTATGAGTCCTCATAAAGTGCAAAACCACATGCAGCTCTGATGCAGTGTCCCCTTTTCTCTACATATCTGTACAAAAAGACTTAGTTGCTGAAGGTGAAGGATTTGAGTCCTCCTTTGTCTGACCTGACAGGCAGTTATCTTTGATTTAGTGAAACTAGCTATACCAAGAAGATAAATCCCTTATCTATCCCCTGTAGCAGATGATACACATTTTTTTTTTTTTTGGTAAGGCAATTGGGGTTAAGTGACTTGCCCAAGGTCACACAGCTAGTACGTGTCAAGTGGTTGGTGTGAGGCTGGATTTGAACTCAGGTCCTCCTGACTTCAGGGCCGGTGCTGTATCCACTGCGCCACCTAGCTGCCCTGACACATTTTCTTTTAACAAGTATGTTTGTTTGTTTGTTTTTGGTATAGCCACCTGCATTTTGATGAATAGCCATTTTTCTTTTCTTTATTTACTATCCTGTATAAATATCACTTGCTAAATTGTGAATAACACATTCCCCAGCAGTAGTTACTGCTGGAGAATAATATACTTTGAGTGTAATAAAAGTTTCAGATTTGTGCCGGCTTATTTGGCATTAGCTACTTGAATTGATAAGTAAATTCATTAGATAATTCATAGACATTATGCTGAAGGACAAACTCTAGGTTGTATGTCAGTCTTGACTAGATATTCTTCATGCACTCCACTGGTTTTACTTGTGTGGATGGTTGGGGCAGATAGACTTTGTCTAGGAGGGTCTGCAGTGTTCTAGGGCTTGATAGAACCAGTCTGATGTCCTCTGCAAACAGAAGCATCTAGTGAACCTGACCAACTATGGGAAATCCCTCTTCACCTTGGACTCTGCATTGGAACTCTGTGACAGTGGTGAATGAACATCTGGCAAGCAGATGTCTCCTTATTTTCTGACTGAGCTGATGGTAATGATTGTTATTGTCAAAAAAAAATTATATATGTTATGTCTTTCGTAAAATCTTACATAACTTTGATGTGTACATGGAAAACTTTGTTGGAAAAGGGCCTTTGA